GGGGGGGGGGGGGGTGGTATTAGGATGAGGAGTTTGGGAGGTTGTTGTTTTTACCGATCCAGGGAGTATGGAAGGATGTGGGAGAGATTGGGAGTAATTGAGGGGGAGGGGGTGTATTAGAATGTCAGAAATGTTCAGTATGTTCAGCTGTGAGCGTCCGTCGGTAATAACCGTGTTCCCCATTGGAAGCTGGGAGCATCCAGTACTAGTGACAACTGTTTCGTTTCATTTCGTGCTAGCTTCTGTTGTGTTTCTTTTTTTTTTTAACTATTCCCGAACAAATTTTTTTAAAGTTATGACTCAGCCTTTGTTTCCACCATTTAGAAGCAGGAGGCAAGCTGTTATAATGAGACAGAGTGCGCCAGGTTTAGGTGACTGTAGGAAAAACTCCAGGTACGCCAAATTGACCATCGTCTGCATAGAGGAAAAGAGCCACTCACACACATACACGACTTGTACCTTGCAACGAAAGAGATTCTGTCTCATTACGTCATATGTACCTTGCAGCGGAAGGCGACCAGGCCGAACATGACGTCACCCATAGTCTCGAACCTGTGGTCCTCAGCGATCATCTTCTCCAGCTCTTTGGCCCGTCGGACTTCCTGGTGGACAGATGGACAACGCAACGTGGTCACACACATAGGCACACACATAGACACACACACACACAGACACACTTACACACACACACACACACACACACACACACACACACATACACTCACACATACAGATAAACAAAGACATACATACACACAAACACACACACATACACACACATGCACCCTCCTTCCCTCCTCTCCCCTCCCCTCCCTCCCTCCTTCCCTCCTTCCTTCCCCTCCCTCCCTCCTCACCTCCCGTATCTTCGGCTGCAGACTGTACAACTTGAACACTATCCACACCCACCCTCCTCTCCCCTCCCTTCCTCACCTCCCGTATCTTCTGCTGCAGTCCTTTAGTACCGTACAGTTTGAACACCATCCACAGCTTCATGGCGCGAAACCGCCTGGTCATGGGCAGACTCCAGTCCTGGGGAGATCATGTGACAAAGCATATAGATCACGTGGCACAGTAGTTCACGTGACACATTACATCACGTGGCACAGTAGATCATGTAACATGATAGATCACGTGACATAGTAGATCACGCGGCACAGTATATAGATCACGTGGCACAGTAGATCACGTGGCCTAGTAGATCACGTGGCACAGTTACGGGGCCCAGGTCACGTGGTTTAGTTACTAGTTTAGTTTAGTTTCAGCCAGAGTTTTACGGCACTTGCAACACAATAAGGTCATAGAAGTGCCGAAGACTGGAGGTGTTACAAGGGAGTAACAAACACAAAAAAAAGGAGGAGAGATAAGGACGGTAGGTGTTGGGTAGGAAAGAAGGAGCAAACCACACCAGAACACCCGCCAACCACCTACTGTTACTAGCTTAGATCACGAGGAACACTAATATCATGCTGACTAAGATAACGTGTAACGTGAAACATTTACTGACTTAGATCACTTGACACATTTAATGCTGACTTCGATCACGTGGTAGAGTTACTGGCCAAGGTCATGCTGTACAATCGCTCGTCAGGTCACGTGGCAGACTTTCTCACTCGTGTCACGTGATGTCTCTTACATAACCTTAGAGTAAAAGTAAAGTTGTTCCCGCTTCCGATCCGGACTTTGGGGATTGGCCTTGTTAGTGTGATATTGTTGTAGTAGGGTGGCCAGTTCTTTTCCACGCCGCCTTTACTTCCCCGAAGTAGGTACCAATTACCGCATGCTGGGTGGGCAGGAGGGGGCGAAAATAATCCGTGTCCGAACCGTGGCTCGAACAGGGACTTTTTGCTTCGGAGACGAGCGCACTAACCGCTGCGCCACCACACCCTCTGCACAACCCAAACAGTGTTAAAACGGCTACATACAACTAGTCATCTCTCTCTCTCTCTCTTCCTCTCTCTC